GAGACTCTTAACTATAGAGAACAAAGTGAGGGTTGCTGGAGAGGAGGAGGGTGGGGGGGATGCACTAAATGGGTGATGGACATTAAGAAGGGTACTTGTTGGGATAAGCACTGAGTGGTATATGTAAGTGATGAATCACTAAATTCTGCTCCTGAAACCAATACTACACTATATGTTAACTAACTTGAATTTTTTTTTTTTTAAGATTTTATTTATTTATCTGACAGAGAGAGACACAGTGAGAGAGGGAACACAAGCAGGGGGAGTGGGAGAGGGAGAAGCAGGCTTCCCGCTAAGCAGGGAGCCCGATGCGGGGCTCGATCCCAGGACTCTGGGATCATGACCTGAGCCGAAGGCAGACACTTAACAACTGAGCCACCCAGGTGCCCCAACTAACTTGAATTAAAAAAAAAAAAATTCAGCCCCAAGCAGCTTAAGCAAAGAGGAGTTTACGGCCTCACCAGATTGACAATTGAAAGGCAGGCCTCCTTTGAGCCCAGGCTGGGTTCTGGTGCTTGAGCCTTTCAGGATTCTCTACTGCTCTTTCTCCCCATCTGTGTTTCCATCTGTGTTAGCTTACTTCCCAGCTCCTCTTCCACCTGGTGAACCCTGAACTATATGATTGCTCCACCAAAGTTGAGAAAGTGGTGAAGAGCCCCTACCCCACACAGCCGGTCACTCACTGGTGGTTTTGGGTCACTGGTTTTTACATTTTGTCTATCATTGAGAGTTGTTATCTGCAGGAGGACTGGTTCAGTAGGAGCTGTGCAGTCATGGCCAGAAGCAGAACCTCAAAAGAGAGCAAACCAGGGGTGCCTGGGTGGCTCAGATGGTTGAGCGTCTACCTTCGGTTCAGGTCATGATCTCAGGGTCCTGGGATGGAGTCCCACATTGGGCTCCCTGCTCAGCAGGAAGTCTGCTTCTCCCTCTGCCTCTCCCTCTGCCTCTCCTTCCTCACTCATATGCTCTCTCTTTCTCTCGAATACATAAAATCTTTTTAAAAAAGAAAGAGAGCAATCCAAAAACAATAAAGATCTTGGAAATTAAAAATGTGATGGCAGAAATAAAAATTTCAAAAGAAGGATAAAAGATAACGTTGAGACAATTTTCCAGAATATTGAGAAAAAGAGATGCAAAATTAGAGAAAATAAGAGAATCATGGAGTAGGTTTGGGAGGCCCAACATCTTAGTAACAAAACCCCAGCAGGAAGAAAAAAGTGAATAATTCAAGACCATCTCCCAGAATTGAGGGATGCCTGGGTGGCTCAGTCGTTAAGCGTCTGCCTTCAGCTCAGGTCATGATCCCAGGGTCCTGAGATCGAGCCCCGCATCAGGCTCCCTGCTCTGCGGGAAGCCTGCTTCTCCCTCTCCCACTCCCCTTGCTTGTGTTCCCTCTCTCACTGTGTCTCTCTCTGTCAGATAAATAAATAAAATCTTTAAAAAAAAAAAAAAGACCATTTCCCAGAATTGAAAGATTTACATCTCCAGACTGAAAGAGCCTGTCAAGTGGGCAGCACAACAGTGAAAATGCCTCATAACAAGTCATGAGATTGCAGAGTGCTAGGCCAAGGCAAAGACCCTCCATGCCTTACAAGAGGAAAGACCAGATTGCATTTCAAAGGATCAAGAATCAGTTTGACATCTGACTTCTCAACAGGAACTCTGGGAGGTAGACGTGCACATTTCTGAATAAAAATTATTTCCTACGTCAATTGTGTGCCCATCCACTCTCAATGAAGAGTGAGTGCAGACTACAGACATTACAGACATGCAAAGTCTCAAAAACTATCTTCTACTTCTACTATCTTCTACTATCTCTCCTTTTCTCAGGAAGAAAAAGGATGTAAACCAACAGAGGGGGAGATGTGGGATTCCACAGTAGGAGAAGAGAGGGCCCAGGAAGACAGCATACTCCTAGTCTGCAAGGGAGTAGGACAGAAGCTCTGGGAAGATGCCACTAAGAAGGTGAAACACCTGAATGTTTGGAAGTACTAAGGAGAGGGTTGGATAACTGGAGGAGATTTTAGGGATATGTTCATGATAAATGCAGAGAAAACTAAGCAAATAAACAAAAAGGCAATTTTTAACTCCAGTAAAAACAAAAAGTTGTATGTGAAGGACAAATATAGTATACCACATGTTCCAGCTGTGGGTAGTGTTTACTTGGTCATATTGATGTAAAATTGGACATTGGTCTAGCTAAAATGGCAAATGACTATACTCTGTGCATGTGTGTGTGTGTGTAAGGGAGAGAGAGAGGCATGTGGAGTATGTCAATGAAAGAGAACTACATTTTCACCTTCCACAGTGGGAATTTGATTAATGCCTAAACCTGAAAATTCAGGAAGTAGGAATACAAGTATGTTGTTTACAAATTTGGAGATTCATAGCAGAAGAAATACAGAAAAGATGAAAATGGGTGCACAACACTGTGGTGGGGTGTGGATCAGGTCCTGTCATTTTCCATATTAAGTCATAGACTTAAAATGAAACCATGTGTATATCTATGACTAATGAAAACAAAATCCAAGTATAGTTTTAAAAACTTATAAGGTGCTTGGGGTGCCTGGCCAGCTCAGTTGGTGGAACATGCGATTCTTTTTTTTTTTTTGGAAAGTTTATTGAGCAATAGTACAAAGCTCCCGAAGAGGGAGGGGACCCAAGAGGGTTGCCCAAGCATGCAATTCTTGATCTAAGCGTGGTGAGTTCAAGCCCTATGTTGGGTGTAGAGATTACTTAAATTAAAACAAAAAACAAAAAAACCCTTATGGGGTGCTTAAAAAGACCATGAGGAATAAATTCTTTTAAATTTATGAAAACTTATTTTTTATTGTGGACCTAAAAAATAAGTACATGAGGACACTGTGTAAATCAAAGGAGCCAACCCAATTTAGTGAGTTAATCTCCTAAAGGTTAAAAATGAAAAACCCGTCCAGCCTGTGAATGGTGAGAGCTCTCTTTTACTGTCTGGAAACAGACATGCCAAAGCCCACATTCTCTCTAGATTCAAAAATGGATTCCCAAGTGTACTTATTTGTTGCTTCACCTAGACGGCATAAAACCTTTAGTGTTCCAAGGGAAAAATTAAGTATTTCCAAAATTAACTTTGAAGTTGCTCTCTGTATATGTTTTTATGTGTTTATATATGTTTAATTATATGTGTATATATTCTACTTACTTATTATGTGATTATACATTCTATTATATATTATATTTAATATATGTGTGTATATATATTCTATTATAGACATATATATTCTATTTTAGTGTGTGTGCCTCACGTCATATATGCCCAATGCTGACTGCTGCAAAAGGAAGAATATAGGCATTTGAAGTTGCCTTCCAGATAGTTCCGTGGGATTTTAAAGGACTGTGAAGAGGCCCTTGGTTGGTCAGTCCAAAGAGTAATTTCACAGAGCCTGAATGTACTGACCTAAGCAGTTTCCAGAGTATCTATGCTCTGCCCTAAAACCTTGGGCAACGTGCCCTCAGAACGAGAAGCAAATTTGTTGTCACCTTTGCCATGCATACTGTATTGCCCTCAACCTACTTTAAAGACAGGAGGGTTTATGAATATGGCGTTCTTTACCTTGGGGCTTTCGTGGGTGGGGGGTAGCTAAGTCTAAGCACTGTAGATCCGCCAAGGGAGCATAGCCAAGCTACTTGGAAATGGCACCTTCTTTAGCACTGCATTTGGGGAGCTTGCTTTCTGAGCCTTGGGTGCGGGGCTTTTTCTTTTGGTGGAGAGCTGCTAAGATTTCATACCCATTCCAGGACTTTCTCAGGGTGAGGCCCCCATGTAGGAGCTCCTCTCTCTTCTCCCGTCTGCCCCTCGGAAGCACATTCCACTTTAGATTTGTAACTCTTAATCCAGCTTTCCTTGTCAAGATATCGAAAGTCTGGCCACATCCCAGAACCTTTTCAAGGCTGGTCTTCTCGAGGTTTGCATGCTTTGAGAGACATTCCTGAGTAAGTCTAAAAATGAAATAAATCAAGCACCATAGAGCCTGGTGGTGTGGTGTGGTGTTACTAAGCGGTTTGGATCCTTGTGATCATAAATTGTGTTGCATCTGTTTTTTGGAAGGGAGTACTCCTTTCTTGTTTTCTCTGTCACTTAATGGAAACTCTGTCTTTCACGGGCGACTTGCTCTGTGAACACAGAAGTGGTTTCTCAAAGAAGTAGAAAATTGGTTTCTGGTGGAATGGGGAGGAATATTTTTCTTTTTAAAAAATGTTTATTGCTTTTTTTTTATTTTAGAAAAAAATGCATGCTCATTGAAGAAACTTAAAATAGGGAAAGGTTGGGGTAAACGAAGTAAACACAACCCAGAAATTTCCAGTTGTAACGCAGGGCTGGTCCTCACTGTTGCCCCCCACCACGCACATACACTCACAAATACACAGGTGTATTTTCTTTACTTAGTTGAGGTAATGCTTCATATCTCATTTTTTATGTGACACATTTACTTTACGTTCTTAGTGTGATAATTTGGGGAAATGATCTCAGTGTTTTAGCCTGGGATTCCAGCTTCAGTGTAACAGTCCCAGGACGGGAGGCGGGGCGGCAGGGAGGGTCACAGAGATGAGGGGGTGGGACATGGGGCTGCCCAGAGCTGCCTGCAAACGGGGGGCCTGATGCCGAACAGTTCAAGGGCCAAAGTCCAAGTCCGTGTCCGCTGGCTGCTGCTGCCCGCCCCTCGGGTGGCAGGCAGTGGCCGGGGAAGCCCAGGCCTTGGGGCGGCCGGGAGGCCGAGGCAGCTGGTGCCGAGTGAGGAGAGGAAGGTCGGAGGCCCCACAGAGTGAGCAGTGGGGCTGGTGGGCAGGGCCCGCGCAAACCCAGGGAGACCCAAAGCAAGGTCCAGTCTGCCCACCTCAAAAACTGTGACTCTGCCCTGGTGAGAGGTGCTTTCTCCCCCCAGGAGAGTTCTCCTCTCTGGTGCCGTTTGCTTGAGCATAGCTGTGAGGCCCGCAGCACTTAAGCTGCCCGCACCCTTCCACAGGCATCGACTACAAGACCACCACCATCCTGCTGGACGGCCGGAGGGTGAAGCTGCAGCTCTGGTGAGTCGGGGCCCACCCCGGGCTCTAGGCAGGACGCGCGGCCCCAGGAGGAGAGGCTGTACCAGTACCCCTCCCCCCCCCCCCGGCCCCAGCAGACCCAGGGCTGCCCCAGAGGAGGTGGAGATCCACTTGTCTGGGCCACCGAGGCGTCATCCATGGGAGGGAACACTGGGGCCTTTGTGGGTCCCTGGGGGTGTGTCCAGAACAGGCCCCACTGAAACCCTCTGCCTCCCCAGCAGCAGGAGGGGCCCACGGGTGGGATGGGGACAGACCCATGGCAGGTGTGGGAGGGCAGGAGCAAGAGGCCCTCGCCCGGTGTCTGGACTAGGTCTCTTTCTCATGGCCTCAGCTGGCAGCCCTGGCTCTGCGGTCGGGTCACACTCCCCTGCCTCTGCCCCTCCTGCTCCGGGTGGGGCTGCGGAGTGGGAGAATTGGGGTTTCCTGCTTCGACTGCCCCCATGCAACTTACCTGACTACTGTCCCCGGCCTCTGTGTCATCACTTCTCCTGGGCCACCTGCATGGCCCTCTTCTCTGCCCAAACATGCCTAAGCCCCAAGCCACATGAGCCTCCCCTAACTGGAAGCCTGTCCTCCTGCCATCCCCACCTGCCCCTTCCCAGGGGCAGTCAGCAGGGAGCCTTTCTCCACAATGTCCCCTTAGCACCCTGTCCCTTCCCACTGCCTGCCCCCCGCGCCAGGATGTTTGAGGTTGTGGGTAAGGCCCACCAACAGCCTGTGTCCTCTGGGCTGCGCACTGCTGTGGGGCATCCTGTTCTCACCAGTTGTCCTCAGACTCCTGTGTGCTCTGCCCGGCAACCTCTGCCCAGCCCTGAGGCCTGCAGGGCCCAGGGCTTATCTCGTCCTGACTCCCTCCCTCCCCGAGACTATCCGAGGGCCCCACTCTCAGCCCATGCTTGCCCTGGCCTCCGAAGGCTGTCTCACATCTCCTCTGGGCAGCGACAAGTCTCCTGATTGCGTGTTTCATCTCGTGAATGCTGTCATGTGCCCACCCCCTCCATTGCTCCTGCCACACCCTGGGGTTATCCACAGCACCCCACGTCCAGGGACGTTCCCGCTTCATGATAGCCACCAGTCTCCCATGAAAGCTAGTGATTCATGCCCCAGGGCTGCTCTCCTCCTCTGTCTCCTTGCCCACAAACTTCCTAGCCACTTCCATCTGCGGGCGCGGGCAAAGTGGAAACTCTGTAGCGGCTGAGCTGCGAGTTCTCCATCGATTTGCTCCTCGACACTGAGGAGCTCCTCCCCCGTCTTGGGCCACGGTCAGCACCTCTGGCTCTCCTGAACCCCAGGCCCTGCCCTCCCTCGTGGTGGCTCGTCTAGGACTCAGAAAGCAGGGGCAGGTCACCACCTGCAGGTGACGAGGAGAAAAGAGAGAAGTTGCGCTGTTTGTAGCGAGGACACGGTTGGACCTGCAGTCCCGCCCTCATCCCTGTGGGGGATCCCCTGTGGTGGGGGCGTGTTCATCGCACACGCAGATGTGTGTTGACCTTACAAGAGATGCCAGGAGTCAGCACCCACCGGTCCTCAGAGCCGCTGCCGTGAGAACAGGCTGCTGGAGTCCATCCCATGGGAATGTTGTTTTTCTTTATCCTGATTTATGGCGCTGGGAGCTCCATTCTGGTCATTCCAGGTGTCCGCACCCCTTGGGTCAGTTCTGTTTTGATAAACTTAGGGAAGTATCTGTAGTGGGATGGCCACTGACTGACAGTCGTAAAATGTGTTTGCTACGGCTCCCAAGTTCCAAACCCTGTTGTCAGGAAGAAGCAGGGATTTCTTCTCAATGGCCTCCATCATCTTTTCCAGGGATACATCCGGGCAGGGAAGATTTTGTACCATATTCCGCTCCTACTCTCGGGGCGCACAGGTAACATCCCCTGAGCCAGGAAGTTAACTGACTGAATAATAACATTTGGAATGTTCTTAAATGGATACCTGGAGGAGAAGGCAGTTAAGCTCCTATGTGAATTGATGCAAGAGGCTGAAAGTGTGCCAAGGAATGTCTGGTGCTCGCAAGCCTTCAGCATCAGGGATGGGCGCCTGTGTGCGTGTGGACGCGTGTGTTATGTCCGCATGCACGTGGGCCTGTGTGCATGTGTGTCTGCGTGTTTGTGCATACATATGCATGCGGCAGGGCCATGTGTGTGCACCGTTGCTCGCGTGATTGCGTGTGTGTCGAGCGCTCTGTCCGGGAGGGCGGGCCCACTCTTAGGACGGAGGTGGTCCCTGCAGGCTCTCCACATCCCGTGTCCCTAGAGCCGCTTGTGGATGTGGGGGATCGAGTCCCCACCTCACCTTGACACTTGAGGGCTGATTAATGAGCTCATGAGATGTCATTAGAAATACTTATTTAACTACGACATTTGGTAGATAAACAAAACAATATGTTTTCTGTTAAAGTAAGTAAAATGGTATTTAGCTGGTTGTGCATCCGTGACGGAGTAGCCTGCACACTGGCCAGCACGGTCCGGGGCTGTGTCCGCCTCTGTCCCGTAAGGTAAGCCTGGTGCCTCTCCCCCCAGGGTGTGATCCTGGTCTATGACATCGCAAACCGCTGGTCCTTTGATGGCATCGACCGGTGGATTAAGGAGATAGACGAGGTACGACATGGTGTGCCAGGCACCGTCCGCATGGGCGGGTGGGGGTGTCGGGCACGTGGGCCAGGACACGAGGCCTCAGCAACACGAGGCTGTGCCACCTCCCAGAACGGGACGGGGCCCTAACTTGGAGACCCACCCAGCCCCGGGGGTCGGGGCCGCATACCACCTGCTGTGTGGAGTGGGTTGGTGGGTGGTGTTTGGGCTGCTGTCCGCCGGCACCCGGAGCCGCCCGACTGCCAGCGTGGACACGAAGTGGTCAGAACCACACTCACGGTGTCAGGTTCCTGCAGCCTGCTGAACCGCATGGCCGTAAACAGCAGGAATGTATGCTCTCACAGTTTGGAGGCCAGAAGTCCAAAATCTAGCGTCAGCAGGGTCGGCTCCCTCTAAAGGCTCTAGAGGAGGATCCTCCCTGCCTCCTCCAGCTTCAGGGGGCTGCCAGCGGTCCTTGGCCTATAGACCCATCACTCCAGTCCCTGCCTATCCCAGCAGGTGGCTCTTCCCCTGTGACTTCTGTGTCCTCTCCTTTGCTTACAAGGACACCAGTGACTGGATTGAGGGCCCACCCCAGTGACCTCATCTTAACTAATTACATTCTGCAAAGGTCCTATTTCCAATAAGGACACATTCTGAGGTTCTGGGTGGGCATGAACTGGGGGAGGATTTACCCTGTACACCAAAGGTGCGAGCAACCACAAAAGCTCGCCAAGTAACCCCCTTGCCTTTCTCTAACCCTTCAGCACGCCCCTGGCGTCCCTAAAATCCTGGTGGGAAACCGCCTGCATCTGGCCTTCAAGCGGCAGGTCCCCACGGAGCAGGCGCAGGCCTACGCGGAGCGCCTGGGCGTCACCTTCTTCGAGGTCAGCCCTCTGTGCAACTTCAACATCACCGAGTCCTTCACGGAGCTGGCCAGGACCGTGCTGCTGCGACACGGGATGGACCGGCTCTGGAGGCCGAGCAAGGGTAGGCACCAATCAGGCCGTCCTACAGCCCCCAGACCCTGGTCTGCCTCCCAGGACCCGCCTCAAGCCGCCATGTCCATCCTCAGAGTAAATGCATTTAATCTGAGAGGAATCACTATTAGTAGTCTTGTCGGAAAGTTCACGAGAGGCATTTCTGAGGTCAGTGTGTGGGCAGAAGTGGAGGCAGGTGCAAACAGGCTTGTGCAGTGGGAAGGGGGCGGCACCTCCCCACGCAGAGCAGGACCCCTGAGGGCCGGCTGGCCAGGTTTCAGCCCATGGTTTTGGGAAGCACAGAGCGTGTCAGGAATGATTCACTTCCAACTCTTTTTTTTTTTTTTTGCAAAGAGGGGAACCTGAGAAACAGAAGCACCTCGAGCGTAGTGGGCACCCTATAACCTGAGGTTGGGATACTGTTCAGATCCCTCGGTGTTAATCTGTCCAAAGACCTGTGTCCTCCGATTTCATCTACTTTGTGGGTCCTTTACGGTGACAGTCCCTGTCACGGATTTCCTCGCAGGAACCTGGCCGCATATGACTGTTACAAAACAAAAGGACAAAACCTAGAGTCATTGAACTGGGCGGCACAGGGAGCCAGACTGGATTCTTCTCAGTTAGGGATTCTCCATCTCAGCACCGCTGCCGGCTTCGACAGGGCTGCTGGCTCTGGGGGGGCGTTCAGTGTGCTCTGCCCCCTGCCCCCCCGGGGTGGAAACCACAAGTGTCCCGGGGGGTCAAAACCACCCCCAGCTGAGGGCCATTGCGCAGAGAGAGCTCTCTACTGAGACCCCCGGGCCTGACCCCTCAGGGGCTGCCCCACGAGTGCCACCCTCATCAGGTCCCCCAGGGCCCCATCCCAGGGAGCCTGACTCACACGAGGAACAGTGTAGATGAGACCGAAGCACTTGCTTCTCAGGCACACTCTTGGGCATGTCCCCATAGAGCTGGTCACACGTGCTTCCGATGTCAGCGGTGTGGTGGTTGGGAAGATCATCCCTGACACCCTCGGTCTCTCACCCCAAACTGCAGTCAGGTGAGGCCTGCAGGAGGACCTCACGGGCCACCGTCTCCCCTCCAGGTCTGCCCCAGGGGTAGGGGTCTCCAGTCCAAGGCACCTAGAGCAGGGTGGCCCACCTCCGGCCCTTCCCAGGGCCACGCAAGGGCACAGTGGGTGGAGTGCTCAGCCCAAGTCCTGGGGAAGGAAGGTGGGGAGGCGAGCGGGCTGCCCTGTGGTCGGTGTGTGTCCGGGACAACGTGAACTAAGCCCAGTTCCTTTCCTTCCCAAGTGCTGAGCCTGCAGGACCTGTGCTGCCGCGTGGTGGTGTCCTGCACGCCCGTGCACCTGGTGGACAAGCTCCCGCTGCCCATGGCCTTGAGGAGCCACCTCAAATCCTTCTCCATGGCCAGCGGCCTGAACGCCAGGATGATGCACGGCCGCTCCTACTCCCTCACCACCAGCTCCACCCACAAGAGGAGCGGTCTGCGCAAAGTGAAGGCCACCCGCCCGCCCCAGAGCCCGCCCAGGCGCTGCCCCAGGAACAACTGCAAAGTCTCCTGAAGACGGCGTCCGAGCGCAGACCCCGGCCCCTCCGGGAGAGACGCCAAGCAGTCGCCCGCGGGACAGACGCGGGACGGACGCGGAGCCCGTTCCAGGCCCGGAAAGCACCTGCCGGCCTCTCACGCTGAGATCTCTCACGGTGACGGAGCTGCTCCGTGCAGTGAAAACCCAGCCTGACTGACGTTTCTCCGTGGATGTGCATGAAGCTCTTGTTTTAAACGTGTGTTTGTCCAGGGGGGATCGGCCGTCTGCTCAGCTCTGGATGGCGCGAGATTCTGGCTGACGCGGCCTTTCCCTGCCACGGCTCCTTTTATAAGAGCGCGACGCGCGCGTGGTGAGCGTGGCCCCGGGGACTCTGGAGAGCAACGGGACAGAGAAATCAGTCTTCGACCTCACAAGAGGGCCTTTTTGTAAACCTCCTCTTCACGTCGAAGTGCTAGTTTACGGAGCACGCGGAGAATGGGAGATTATGCAGGGCGGGTCTGACGAATTTGATAGTTTTTGCTATGTTATTTACCCTGTTTGGGGATTAATAAGTGATTTATATGCATATTTTTCTGTAAATCTACATTTTTTGTACACGATGTCCCACAAATTACGAAGCAAAGGGAAGAAAATGCCAAAGATATCTCTAGTTGTCGAACGGCCACAACATAGTTACGTCAGATCCAGATCGGCGAGGAAATTATCATCCGGAGCCGTTTCGGTAAGGGAAGAAGCGGACGCTGTTGTTTCAGAGAATGTTTCTCGACAATAAAATGTATACTTGTTTCTTGGTAGGACTGTTGGCTGGTTCTTTCTGATTCCGTGTGTTCACATAGCCCTTTATTTCATTTGCTTCATTGCCTGTCCTGAGCATGGCATCTGCTGATAGAGACTCCCTTCCCTGGAAAGAAACACAGAGGCAGAAAGTGGAAGTATGAAAGAGAGACCCCGGAACGTGTGCCCGTCCGGGAAAACAGCAGACGGGGCTCTTGACTCCCCCTGGGGTGCCCACAGATTCGTCAGGCACCCCGGACAGACAGACAGACAGACCCTTATCACTGATCACAAGAACAGTGTAAAAGGCCCCGGGGCAGGGTCTCACCTTCCTGGTTGTAGCTGCCTGACCTCTCTCTCGGCAGCAGCTGATGGTTACGGTGAGGAATCTTTAAGAAGTAAGTAGCAATGGGAAAACACCCAGTTCTCAGTTTCTATTAACTATTTACAGATTTTTAGAAATTTAAGGGACTTGAGAATCGGAAGCAACATCTCTATTCGGAGGGCCAGAGGAGAAATGAGGCTGGCCACCCCTGGCCGCTGAAGGCCTAGGGCCAGGCTTGAGGTCGCACAGCCCCCTGAGCACGATGGGGACAAATGTCCACAGGGGAGCGGGCTAGGGGACAGCGCCTCTGCAGCGGCTGCCGGCCTGGGAGGATGTCCTGCTGGGGCCACAGCACCTTTTCTCCGTCCGGCAGTGGATGGCAGAGAAGGGTCGACCTGCTGACCATGAGTGCAGGGACAGCCAGGGTGCCCAGGATGGGTGTCATCTGACCTGCTGTGACCGATGTGGGGCCGGCCCAGGTGGGGCATCTCTTTCCTACGTGGGTGACCAGGAGGGATGTGAGGAGAGGTCTAAGTTGAAGGGAGCCCCTGCAGCACCTCTTCTCCCCTGTGAAGAACAGACTTCTGGAGAACCAAAGCTGCAGGTCCCTAAGGCCAAGGACAGCAGGGGGGCACTGGAACGTGTCCCCTGGTGGCAAGGTCACACCAGACCAAACAGGGCTCTCCTCCCTTCCATTCAGTTCCATCTTCAACTGAAGGACTCCTTAAGACTACCACTAATGTTCTAGAAGGAATATAGCCTCTGTGACCTGGAGTTCTTCCCGGGGGACAAAGGACACCTGGAGCCCCCAGAAGCTGGCAGAGGCGGGAAGGAGCCCCCAGGGCCCCGCCTGCACCTGGATCTCAGACTCCAGTCCCAGAGCCCCTAGAGCTGTGAGAGGGCAAATCTCCGCCGTGCTGAGTACCCCAGTGTTGTGCTGGCCCCAGGACACTCCACAACAAGAAGTTATACTTCACAGTAGAAAGTGCTTTAGCAAATCCAAGTGGCATTCCTAGGAAAGAGAAACAAAGAAACCGAAATATGGAACGTATTATGAAGTAAAGCATGCATGTTTGGGTGGTAAATATACTGAAAATATAATCAAATGTAAACTGACCCCTAGAAAAACTGCTCTCACACGTTGTCTGTCTCTTCCATGGCCCTCCCCACTGGCAAAACCCACCCAAAGTGTAAACAGGAATGCCAGATTATGCCCCAGATGTTTATAATTCTCTTTGTAAGCATCTAGATTCAAAATACATTACGTACAATTATGTCTTCAGTTGCCCTGTGAAAATTACTGCAATGCAGAATAATCTCCTGGACAGAGAACTCACAGCTTTGATAGGAACTATCTAGGCAAATATTGAATCTGGAAACAAGTGTCAATTACAGGGCTCCCTAACATGGTCTGCCAAGGTGTCGGAGGTGGGAGCTGCTGCCCTTTGCTGGAGAACCACCTCTTTAAAGCAAGTGCTTGGAGAACAGGGGAGGCGTCCCAGCTGTTGCGGATCGGATTGGCCGGATGCGGGAGGTCCCAGCCAGGAGGGCGGCTGGCGCCCAGCTGGGGATGGGGGGCAGGCGAGGCGGGGGACACCTGGTGCTTACCCTGTTGGCTCCCAGCGGTGCACGTGTTCTCAGGTCTTCCTTCCCCTCAGGGCCCCGGCCTCTTCTGGGAGTGTTCTCATGCCGTTGGCCAAACAGAGGAACTGGATGAGGCTGAGCAGAGTCAGCGCAGGATGGCTGCAGGACAGGTCTGCCAGGCAGCGCGCAGGCGAGTCAGTGGTGGGAAACGGGCTGGCTTCATGTAAGCAGGCTGGCAGGTGCCCGACGAAGTTCCCTATCCTGGCATGAGGAGCCGGCACTCCCCGAGCAGAGGCTGAGCTGTGTCCTGGGCTGGCAGTGAGAACCCATAACAGACAGACACCATGCAGAGTACGCGGTCCCCAGTGGAGACACACAAGGTATTCTGAGACCCTGTGAAGCATTTCTCTCTGTGGCCTGTATTGTGAACACCTAGATGTAATTTTCCTCTTACAGACAGAAAGTTGGGCTTTAGTAGGGAACACACGTAATGCCTATGCCCTCCATCCCTGGCTCAAACCCCAGTCTGCGCCCCGGAGGTGAGAACGTGCCCCCTCCCACCTAGGAGAGGGAGTCAGTGAGGAGCCCGGCACTCATTTCGAGCCACTTCTCCCATCTGCTGCCTAAAGACATGTGAGCTACCGACGGGCTGTGCTGGTTTCCTAGGGCTGCCAGAAATAGATAGCTCCAAGAAGGGACACCCACGTCCTCACTGCCTGGGGGCTGGGGGGCCTTCCCAGGCCTCTTCCGGCACCTGGGAGTGACTGCAGCTGTCAGCACGTGTTGGCTTGCAGCTGCGTGGCACCAGTTTCAGCCTTCCCATCAAGTGGCCATCCCCTCTGTCTTCTCCCCTCCTCTTCTCCACTAAGGACGACACTCGTCATGGATTCACGGTCCACCCTAAATCCAGGGTGATCTCATCTTAGGATCCTTAATTACACCAGCAAAGATTCTCCAAATAGGGTCCCAGTTACAGGTTCTGTGTGGGCATGTCTCTGGGGGTCACCATTCGACCCATTCCAGAGGGTGGTACAGCTTTGAGTTTCTGGGGTTAAGATACAGAGGCTGTGGCGAGGAGCCCCCTCAGCAGCACCCCCAGCCTACTACTGTCTGTCACAGAAGGACCTGGAGTGACATAGGACCTGCGGGAGGCCCCAGATCAAAGGAAGGGCTGAGTCTCTCATTTCCCTGAGTGCCCGCTTTGGTGACCACAGGTGCCCGTGTGCAGAGGTAACAACCGGACTGCTGGGGCAAGGCTCTCCAGCAGCAGGGTTCTTTCTGAGTCTGTGGGCTGCAGTGAAGAGCCCCAGGTCTGTGAGTCTGCGATCAGTGTCTGGCCCCTGTCCCAAACCACGGGCCACCAGCCTGAGATACCCCCACATACGGAAACTGAGTTATGCCGACTCTACCAGCAGGGCATGCATGGGTAAATTCGGACCCCAGGACCCCAGGGCCCCAGGGCAGAAAGGGTGCCACCTTGTAGGGTGGGTCAGCAGCCCAAGGGTACAGATGGGAGGAGAGGATGGGAGGGGCAGGAACGGGTGCTGCCTGGACTGTGGACGTCCAGGTGCAAGGGGAAAATAGGACAGGGGACAGTGAGAGAGAGACCAGAGGGTTGTCTGAGTAGGGGACCCTAGGGCCAGCAGTCTTGTCTCCATGGCCACTCAGTGTTGGAGTAGGACCACAGCCCAGCTGCTCTGTGCCAGAAAGTCCAGACTTTGTCCCTCGAGGGGATGGTCTATGGGTCCCAGGAGGGGGAGCTGTATGTCCAGGGAGGCTGTGTGTCCTGTGTCCTGGAAGGGGAGGGTCTATGTGTCCTGGGAGGGGGGCTGTGTGTCCTGTGGGGGGGGCTGTGTGTCCTGGGAGGCTGTGTGTCCAGGGAGGGGGGGTCTGTGTGTCCTGTGGGGAGGGGCCTGTGTGTCCTCTGGGGTCTGTGTGACCTGGGAGGCTGTGTGTCCAGGGAAGGAGGCTGTGTGTCCAGGGAGGGGGGTCTGTGTGTCCTGGGGGGGGTCTGTGTGTCCTGGGAGGAGAGCTGTGTGTCCTGGGGGGGGCTGTGTGTCCTGGGAGGGGAGCTGTGTCTCCTGGGGGGAGCTGTATGTCCTGTGGGGTCTGTGTGTCCTGGGAGGGGAGCTGTGTGTCCTGCGGGGGGCTGTGTGTCTTGTGGGGGGGAGCCTGTGTGTCCTGGGGGGGGCTGTGTCCTGTGGAGGTATGGGGTAGGTCTATACTTCTACATACTTCCACTTCCTCACTTCCATCCATTTTTCTATTTTTGTGTACATTTTACTTCTGTATATAATAAAAACCCTATAATACATTGTTACTATTTTAAATGCTGATCTTTTCAATCAATTAAAAATAAGAAAAAGGGGAGCCTGGGTGGCTCAATCGGTTAAGCGTCTGCCTTCGGCTCGGGTCATGATCGCAGGGTCCTGGGATCGAGCCCCGCATCGGGCTCGCTGCTCAGCGGGGAGCCTGCTTCTCCCTCTCCCTCTGCCTGTCTCTCTGCCTACCTGTACTCTCTGTCTCTGTCATCTAAATAAATAAAATATTTAAAATTAAAATAAATAAAAAATAAGAAAAAGCCTCTCAATTTATATGATTCCGGGGGGGGGCTCTAGTTATATATAGGGCTGTGGGCCCTGCCTGCTCGCGAGGGGCGGGGGTGGGGCGCGGTTGCCTCTTTGAATCGCCCGGGGCCGGGGTAGGTTGCCCTCCAGTCTCCTCGGACCCGGTAGGTGGTTCTCCGCCCCCAGGCCCGCCCCGCCACCCTGCCGCCAGGCCCCTCCCCTCTGCCCCAAGCCCGCCTCCCTCCGCACAGGCCCCGCCCCCGCACACGTGACGTTCTCGGCGCTCCCTCACCACCCTGGCCGGGCCCAGGTGGATGCGCTCGGCGCTCCGCGGCTCCCTGGCTGCGCGCGCACGCACGTCCGGCCCTCGCTTCCGGCGCGGCGGCCTCCGCCGGACGGACGGGACCCCAGCGCCCGGCCTCCCCGAGGGCATGCGGCGCTGAGGAGCGGCGGACCTTCGCGGCGGCGCCATGAACCTCCTGCCGTGTAACCCCCACGGCAACGGGCTGCTCTATGCCGGCTTCAACCAGGACCACGGTGAGGGCGCCCCTGCGCGCGCCCGGGCCCCACCCGGCCTCTTCCGGAGCCCCCCGACCGGGCCGGCCCCTCCCCCGGCGCCCCCGGCGCCCCCCCGGCCCGACTCGGCCCCTCCCCGACGCTTCCGACCCGGCCCGGCCCCTCCCCGGCCGCCCCCCAACACCTGGCGCCCTGGCGGGTCCTCCTCCCCGACACCTTCCCGCACGCCCTCCCCCCGAGGCGGCCCTTGACCTGCCACCCCCAGTTTTGTCCTGGCCTCGCGACCGGCCCTGCCGGCGCCTCTCCCACTCCGGGCGGGGGGTGCGGGCCGAGGCCGGGGCGGGTGCCTCGCCTCCGGACTCCCTGGGGCTCGGGGCGACGGCCGCCTCCACTCGGTCCGCCCTCCTCCGCGGGCTCTCGCCGGTTCGACGATAATCGGGTTTTCCCCGCGGCTTATACTGGGGTCCGCTCCGAAACTCCGCTTTTTCCTGTGCCCGTTTAGGATCCCGGCGGATCAGCTCTAGTTGAGTTGAACAACACTTGAGTTTCTTTCCAGCTGCGTCCTGAGACTTTACTGCCGAGTCCGGCAGGCCCACGACCTGGTCGGGTGTGGGTCCTCGCCTGGTGCGTTGGTTTTAACGGGAAGGCGTCGCTGAACTTAGCGTTTTTTCTTCTTGTTGGGTGAAACCAAAGGACCTCTCAGGGCTGGACTGTTGAGTGTGCCACTGGGGGAACGGCACTTTATGCTCACGTTTTGGAACCCAGCTGAGGTCCCTGGGTGGTTTAAACCGCTCTCGGAGCCACGTCCGGGGAAGCCGGCAGGATGCGGGAGGGGAGGGGAGGGGAGGGGCGGGGAGGGCCCGGGAGGGGCGGGGAGGACCGGGGAGGACCGGGCGCAGCGCTGCCTCCCCACTGCACAGTTACTAGCTTCCCCCCGGGGAGAAAGGGGGTGACAGCTGCTGTTCGGGGACAGACTTGAAGAGCTCTTACGTGGTCGCTTTGGAGGTTTGGTTTTCGAAGAGCATCGCGCATTTGTGAAGATAATTTTCTTTTTTTTTTTTTTAAGATTTTATTTATTTGACAGAGAGAGCACAGATAGGCAGTGGCAGGCAGAGGGAGAAGCAGGCTCTCCGCCGGGCAGGAGCCCGACGCGGGGCTCGATCCCAGGGCCCCGGGATCACGACCCGAGTCAAAGTCAGACGCTCACCGACTGAGCCGCTCAGGCGCCCCTGTGAAGATAATTTTCAATAGACGATGCCGCGGTTGCCCAGCTGTGGTTGGCCTGTTTACTCTGTGCTGTGCTCTGAAGGATGGGTTAAACCTGCCCACAGGTGTTGATTGTGGTGTCACAGGCGAGATAACAAGGTGGCAGGGAGAAAGAGGCATGCCAAGATAAGGAGGTTTTCATGTGGTTGGAGGAGGGCGAGTTTCCTTCCAGCCTTGGAGGTCAGGGTCAGGGCCAGGTTCTCGGAGGAGGTGGCAGTTGGCCGCGGGCAAAGTTTGGGAAGGGTGTGGGTGCCGTGGGCTGAGCCACGGAAGGTGGTTTTGGTTGGGCCGGACTGCGGGGATTGTGGGAGAACGTTATTTATGAGTGAGGTATGAGTTTGGGGCCAGATGTTGGACTTTGGGCAATTATGTGGCTGAACGTTTTGGGGTTTGATGACCAGAGGAGGGCAGTAGGTTTTTTAATGGGTTTGATAATAATTGAAAGCTCTTTAAGGAATTAACAGTGATATAACAACTCCTTAAGAAATATGTTTTCAGGGGCGCCTGGATGGCTCAGTTGGTTAAGCGGCTGCCTTCGGCTCAGGTCATGATCCTGGAGTCCCGGGATCGAGTCCCGCATCGGGCTCCCTGCTCGGCAGGGAGTCTGCTTCTCCCTCTAACCCTACCCCCTCTCATGTACTCTCTCTCATTCTCGCTCTCTCAAATAAATAAATAAAATCTAAAAAAAAAAAAAGGATTATGTTTTCAGGGGTGCCTGGTTGGCTCAGTTAAGTATCTGCCTTCGTCTCATGTCATGATCCCGGGGTCCTGGGATCGAGTCCTGAGCTGAGCTCCCTGCTTGGTGGGGAGTCTGCTTCTGCCTCTGTCATTCCCCCCAATCAATCAATAAATAAAATCTTTAAAAAAATAATATGTTTTCAGTGGAAAGAGATGGCTAGCTGGTAGTAAGGGAGGGGAGAGGTAACTATAAAAACTTGTGATACCTTTTGTGTTTACAAACGCAAGCAGCTTAGTGACTTGAAGTCATTTAATGCAAGAGATTCATTCTTATGATACCCGCCTTGATACTGAGTGACGAATCTTTGAATTAAGTTTCAGTACAGTATTTGAGGCTCATAATGATGCTGATTATTTAAGAAACCAGTGAAGATTATTATATTTTTATAAAGATTTTATCAAAGATTGTTTTTAAAATACAGCTCTGTGGGGCGCCTGGGTGGCTCGGTCAGTTGGGCATGCGACTCTTAGTTTTGGCTTGGGTGTTGGTCTCGGGGTCATGAGATCCAGCAGAGCCTGCTTGGGATCTTCTCCCTCTCTCAAGAAATAAATAAAATAAAATACAGCTGTGGCTCTTAAAAGGCCATATTTCCATTGTCTGAAAAATACCCTTCTGTAAGCCCAGCTCATTTCATTTTAACAAATTGTAGGTAAAGTAAGTGTTTTTGAAGGAAAAAAATATGCTTTTATACTTAAACTTCTGATTACCCTTAGGTTAAATTCTCTATAAATTTATGCTAGATGATTGAATTTATTACATTTTGTTTTTACTTATACTGATTTTTAATTTCTACTCAGCGTTTTTTAAATGTGAGAGAGAGAGTGTGCATGCGCACACAAGCCAGGGGTGGGGGTGCAGAGGGAAAGGGAGAACCCCAAGCTGACTCCCTGCTGAGTGGGGAGCCCTGTGGACGTGGGGCTTGAGATCATGACCTGAGCTGAAACCAAGAGTTGGACGCTCAACTGATTGAGCCACCCAGGCGCCCCTCTTCAGCATTTTTTTTTTTTTTAAGATTTTATTTATTTATTTGACAGAGAGAGACACAGTGAGAGAGGGAACACAAGCAGGGGGAGTGGGAGAGGGAGAAACAGGCTTCCCGCTGAGCAGGGAGCCCAATGCGGGGCTCGATCCCAGGACCCTGGGATCATGACCTGAGCCGAAGGCAGACGCTTAACGACTGAGCCACCCAGGTGCCCCCCTCTTCAGCATTTTTAACACTCGTTGCAACTTTTGCTTAGAAATCATTGTTTGTTTTTAAGATTTTATTTATTTGAGAGGGCACAAGCAGGGGGAGTGGCAGGCCTAGGGAGAAGGAGAAGCAGACTTCCTGCTGAGCAGGGAGCCCAGTACGGGGCTCCATCCCAGGACCCTGAGATCATGACCTGAGCCGAAGGCAGACACTTAACTGACTGGGCCACCTAGGCGTCCCTAAGAATCATTCTTTATTTAAAAAATTTTTTAGTTGAGGGTGCCTGGGTGGCTCAGTTGGTTAAGCAACTGCCTTCAGCTCAGGTCATGATCCCGGAATCCTGGGATCGAGTCCCACATCGGGCTCCCGGCTCAGCGGGGAACCTGCTTCTCCCTCTGACCCTCTCCCCTCTTATGCTGTTTCTCTCTCTCTCTCTCAAATGAATAAATAAATCTTAAAATAAAATTTTTTAGTTGAAATGTAGTTGATACACAATGTTACATTTGTTTCAGATGTACAAGAAATCATTTTTAAAAGGACATTTGCTCACATGTTCAAACTTTTATCTTCTAAAAATAATTTGCACGGTGGTCTTCAAGACTCTTAAGTGTTGAGATGTACATTTCTATAATTTAGCTGCCTATTTTTTTTTTCCTATTCCCTTGGGAAACTCAAATCTTTGAGTATGTACCCTTTGTGTATATACTTGCTTATCCTGCCTGGACCAAGACCTGAGGCCACAGACTCCTGTTCTTGGCCCACTTCACTGTAGCTATGGGGAAAGGGGGTAGGGGGGTGTGGTGGTAGTATTTGCATGTGGGCTGTTATGGGAGTTGTCTCTACATGCACACCTCAGAGACAACTGCACTAGAGACTATCACAATAAAGTGAGTCAAATGAATATTTTCATTTCTCAGTGCATATAAAAGTTATGTTTACACTGTACTGCAGTGTGTTAAGTGTGTAATGGCATTGTGTCTAAAGAAAAATGTACGTACTTTAATTTTTTTTTTTAAGATTTTTGGGCACCTGGGTGGCTCAGCCGGTTAAGCATCTTCCACTGACTTCCACTCAGGTCATGATCTCAGGGTCCTGGGATCAAGCCCTGCATCGGGCTCCACACTCAGCAGGTAGTCTGCTTGTCCCTCTCCTTCTCCCTCTGCCCCTCCTTCTCCCCTTCCCCCTGCTCATGTGCGTGCATGCACACGCAGTCTCTCTCTCTTTCTCTCTGCTCATGTGCGTGCATGCACACGCAGTCTCTCTCTTTCTCTCAATAAATAAAATCTTAAAAAAAGAAAAAAAGATTTTCTTTATTTATTTCCGAGAAAGAGCACAAGCAGGGGGACTGGCAGGCAGAGGGAGAGGGAGAAGCAGGCTCCCCATTGAGTGGGGAGCCCGACACAGGACTTGATCCCAGGACCCTGGGATCATGACCAGAGTCAAAGGCAGATGCCCAACCGACTGAGCCACCGAGGCGCCCCTGTACATCTTTTTTTTTTTTTTTAAGAT